GAGGGGTTGCTCACAGATTAAGAAGAGGCTTGAAACAGATATAGATAGTAAGCTCAACAGGTAGAGGAGTACTGGAGCAAAGTTAATGACTCAATATGCTGAATTGAGAGAGAGAAGCTCAAGCGGCTCATGACTAAGTTGAGAGAGAGAGTCCAAAGAAATAGAACACCTAGAGAGAACACAACTGTTAAAGGACTTGCCAAATTTTGGCTCTAATACCATGTTAAGGAAATGAACCTTGTGGGTTGTGCTTAACTAAATCCCAAGAGATAGCTCGAGAATTGCCCAAGACCATATAAAGATTACTACAACCCATGCACTTGACTGATGTGGGATTCCAACTTGTTTTGTTGTACATGACCTCATTTACAAAGGTTTTAGATCATTATTTCCCCATAATCATAATTTTGGAAGGACAAAAGTGAAGTAGTCAAGTTTTGACAGTTATATAATGAATATAATCAGCACATTTTATTCAGAAAGTAAAGGAACCAAATGTGTAACACGCAAGAGAGCAAAGCAAATGAGGAATCCATCCATCGTGGCACAATAAAGGAGTTGTGAAGGGAGAGACTTAAACCTGAAGGAGAAAATCATTATTCTCACAAGAGACCTTTTTTTGGTGGTTACAGTCGCTTTTATTTCAATTATATCCAACTTAGCAGCAGGTATCTTAAGTTGCATTTCTATTGGCATTCTACTGGACATGAATAATGTGAAATAGCTTTCTTCTGTCATTGAAATCATTACCATAAAATTCTTCTTTATGATACAGTAAATCCCAGCCCCGAAGACCCCTTAACCAGGAGCCCGACATTGGCTCTTTCCGACTTTGCTTCTTTGGTGATTAGAACGAGTCATTGACATACAACTTGTTTGAGCTATGCTCCTATCTTTCCTTTATTTATGTGGGAAGGCTTCCCTTCCTTAATATTCATGCAATTATCAGCGCATTTCTGGCCATTTAACATAATGATCATCAAGCACAAAACTTCAAATACTGAATCAGCCGCTAAATGATACTTTAAAAATTCCATATGATTCTACATGAAACCAAGGAGAACGGAGATGTCAAAACTAGGCAAAAGGCTACGAAATTTCTATCCAGGCCAGCTTAACTCCCTAATAATATATACATACGACTATAAGATTATAAGCAGAATACCAACATAAAGCCAGATATTATTCCCTCTGACTTACCCTAAATAGGTGTGAGGCAAGCGCATCTCTAATCTTCTTCCCACTTTCATCAATCTCTCCGTCAAACACTGGAAACTCTTCACTCCTCGGGTACTCCACGGTTTCATCTGTCACTGCTTCACTACACTTGATAAGAAAATTGTGTAGCAAACAGCATGTCACAATCACAAATGGAAATGCCTCAACACATTGCTCATTCCATTTCTTAGCCAAAATCTTCCACTTTGCCCTCACTCTCCCAAAAGCTGTCCCCACCAACTGCATTCCTTTACTATGCACCAAATTAAACGCCGTTTCCTCAGAACTCGTCTCCTCTTCCTCGTTTGATCCGCTGTAAGGCGTTAACAACCATGGTAAAAGTGGGAAACAAGAATCACCAAGAATGTACTGAGGTATTGAATTCTCATCATTTAGCTCAAAAGATGGACCATTTAAGTACTCCTTTGATTCCTCAACACCCAAATAAAGCTTAGATTTTCTTAAAACATTTTCAGGCCTCATAGTACCAGGCCACCCAGCTGAAACATCTAAGAATCTACCTTCAGAATCTACCAAAGCTTGAACAATCAAGAACCCATTTTTATCCATTAAATCACTACAAAATTCAAACTTTTCACACCCCAAAACACCACAGCAATTAGGCAAAGAAATCCAACCAAAACCCACAATGACCCTATTGATATCACTCTTTAGCTCAAACAAGTGCCCAAGATTCTCATTGATAGCTTTGCACACAGTATAAAAAACCCGACACGCGGTGGGGGAATCAATACCAAATCGGCGGGAAATAGCTGAAAAGGAAGCACCATGAGCAAGGCGAAAGAGGGCAGCAGCAAGTGCGTAATTGGGAGGAACAGAGAGTGAAGAAAGAGAAGGCGTGAGAAGGCGGAGTAGGAGAGTGAAAGAGGGCTTCGTGATATTGAAATTTTCAGGCCAAAGGGTGTCCGAATCAGCTTCCAGAAATCGCTGGAACCAGCACTCGGCGGCGCGTGGCGAAGTTGGGTCGGTTGGTGGAGAAGCTAGGGTGGCGCGTGAGGGTGGTGGGGGAGGAGGGGGGAGGTTGAGGAGTGAGAAGATGGTGGAAATGGAGGTAGAGGTGGAGGAGATGAGGGATTCGAGGGAAAGGGATTGGTGGGGTAGCAGGCTGAGGTCATGGCGGAGGAGGAAAGAGTGGGCGGAGGAGATGGCGGAGATGAGCTGAGGAATGAGTTTGGTGCAGTGTTGGTGGCGGAGTTGAAGGGTGGCTTTGAATTTCTTTGTTAGTTTGTTCATCTTTTTGGTCATCATTACATTCTTCTTCTTCTTTTTCCTTCCTCTCTTTTTGCCGGCGGTGGCCATGGAAATGGATTGGTGATTTTCAACTTTCAAGAATGGATCTCTCCCTCTGCTTGGATTTCAATTTTTTCCAAATCAATTTGATTTCCTGTTCTTGGGGTTTTGCAGTACTATTTCTGGCGTTGTATTTTCTCTCTTTTTCCTTAGATCTAATACAAGCTAATAAATCCCTCTTGCTAAAAAAAAAAAAAAAGTTAATATTCTTTTTGGGGTAAAAAATGAAAGCTAATCAATAAACTATTTTGGTGTGAATTTAAATAGGAAAAAGGGTCAAGTTTGCTCACGTATTATATAAAAATGAATAAACATTATATATATATATATATATATTTTTAAAAAATATTGGACAATAAAATTAACTTATTCTACTATGGAGATCTGTTAAGAATAAGGATAAATACAAGATAATTTGTTAATAGCATAAAGATCAAAAATCTAATAGATAGCAAAATGAAGCAATTTTAAATTGTTACATGGCCAAACTCGAACACTTTCCCTCTTTTTTTTCCCTTTTTATTTTTGTAAAGACCACCATTTTGGTGTGGGGTTAAGAAGACCCCTACCTGTAGATTAATAACCAAAATGAGAAGCATACAACAAAAGGAACTAAATACTTATGTTCCTGTGTGAAGTAGAAAGGACTGGACTTGTCCAATCTAATATTAGTTAACACCAAAAAATGGTTAGCTGTGTTAGTAATTGAATTTTTGACCAATATTATCTCTTATCTTTGAGGATATGTCTATTTTGGTCCCTCGGATATAACCTTGAGCATATTTAGTTCTTTAAGTATGCTAAAGTGGAGCACCTTTAGTATCAGTGACATAATGTATTCAAAAACTAACAGTGTTAACCAACTCTGATTCATGAAGCAAATCTTCTGCTCTGAAACAAAACGTTTCCTCTCTTTTTATTGGATAACGCAAATTATCACTTTAATTTCTCATTTTTAGATAATGTCTTCTAAAATTTTGACCTTGAAAATATCCCCGTCTGTGCCAGTTTTCAATGAGAAAATGATACTGTATAGCCGCTGTAAAAATAATAGCCGAAAAAATATATCAAATTTGTATATTATTTTGTATATATGCATTTTGTATATTAATATATAATAATAATTATACAAATTTTATATACTTTTTCGCCTATTAGATGTAAATAGTTTCTGGCGCTAAAAGTGATAATACAATCTGATTAGTCGTTTGCTTCAATAATATGCCTAGAAGTGACCTTAGCAGCTCTATTTTTTTTTCTTCAAATTTTAACTTTTCTTTTTGGAAAAATCAACCGAAATTGTTAAAAGTAGAAGTTTCAAACTTAAAATATTAAATTTATCAGCTTTGTACTATTAGTGGGTGTTGGTTTATAAAATATTTTCGATAAGCAAATTAAAAAGATGATGAATGTCGAAACCAACCCCGTAATTGATCTTGGACAAATTCTGTGAGTGAGACTAAAGGTGCTCCACTTTAGCATACTTAAAGGACTAAATATGCTCAAAGTTATATTTGAGGGAACAAAATAGACCTACCCACAAAGATAAGGGACAATATTGGCCAAAAATTCTTAGTACTACTATTATTGCAGTAACTGAGTCTTGTATGTACTTTTGAGCTTGCAAAAAAATGTACAAAAACAGCATATATACAATCTAATTATCATCATACTCCAATCTAGATGCATGTTCTTCATTTTTGATCTCCTGAATCTAAATGAAGTCATTTGCCTCCTATCCATTTTATATACCCCTACAGTCTCCCTAGGCATATCCTGGATATTGAGGAAGATGGTAGCAATAAGTAGAATCTCCAATGTAGCACAATGTTTTGATAGTGTGTCTGCCACTGAATTTCCTTATCTATACCAGTGATGGACTTCAATTTGATGACTCTGAATAATCTTTTTCATATTTAAAATATCATCATGAATTTCCCAAAAAGGTGAAGAAGATCCAAGCTTATTAAACAATCAATAAAGAGTCAATTTCTAGAATTACATTGTGAATCCTATTAAGGCAATCCACTCAATTCCAAAAAGTGCAGCTTGTGTTTCAGCCATATTATTAGTGCAGAAGTGAAGAGCCTTGGCATATGCCATGACAAGCTTTCCACTGCTATCCTAACAATACCGGCCACTCTTTTCATAACATTACTAGTACCATTCGTGTTAAGCTTCAGTCTACCTGAAGAAGGAAGTGACCACATCACCTTGAGAGCTTTCATTTAAGGTTTAAAATCTTCCGAGAACCTGCAAATTCCAGCCCAGTCGTCTTGCCATTTGATTCCCTTTGTAGTGAACTTTAAGAAGCATGATTATCAGTGATTGTACTCCATCTACTAAGCTTTATACAGAGAACCTTCATATTTAGCTGCACACCTCTGGAGAACAAAATTGTGCGCCTCATTTAAAGGCTTAATAAACCACCATTTCATCAATGTCTGTTTTAAGTTGCGTGACATAGTAATACCTACGCTATGACTGAAATATTTCAATATATATTGAGCTTTCCGGCTTGAGAAAAAGATGTGAGCAATATAGTCTTCTTGTGTATCTCTACAACAATAGCATTTAGAATGGCCTTAATGCCCAACCTTTTTATCACTTCATCAGTTGGTAATCTCCTTCTCAAAAGTCTCATCATGAAAAACGATACCTTAAAGGGGAATTTCTTATGTCATATTTTTTTATGAGGACGTGGAAGAGATTCCAGTTTGTCTCAACGCATGAAAAGCAGTTTTTACAAGAGAATTTACCATCCTTGGATGCTTTCCAAATAAGCCTATCCAGTGTGTTATCTTCACCAATTGGGACTTTCTTGATTTGCTCCAAAATGTGATTTGGTAGAACTTGTCGAACCTCCTCAAAGTTCCATGTCTCACCATCATAGACTTGTTTTAACTGCATTTTGCCTAGCTTGGGTCCTTGAGTCACAAATTTAGCTAGTGGTCCTAGTCCAGACCAATCATCCCACCAAAAAGAGCATTCTCATGTATTAGGCTTCCAAAGGATAAGGGGTTCCAGGGTGGCAATTTGAGCTCAAACTCATCTAACTCGCCCAACTAGCCCAGAGATTAATGGGTTGGGCTACAAACATTTTAGCTCATGGATCAATTTGGGTTGAGCCCAAGTTAACCCATTATTTTTTACAGCTCATCCTGACCCATTTAACAGCCCAAATACAACCCATGAAACTCACCCAAAATAAAGGATCTCAACCTAACTTATTTAGAAATTTACTTAGTTGCCCCAATTTTTTTATTTTTTGTATTTTTAATTTTCTGTTCTTTTATTTTTCTGCACCACCCACTCACCCCACCCACCCACTCCACCCCCACCCCGCGCAAAACCCCCAAAAAAAGAATTAACTTTTTATTTTTATTTTTAATTTTTTATTTTTTAGTTTTTCTGCCCCCCTCCACCCCACCCTACCCCTACACTCTACAACCCACCCCCACCCCGCGCAAAACCCCAAAAAAAAGTTTACTTTTTATTTTTATTTTTAAATTTCTGTTTTTGATTTTTAGTTTTCTGCCGCTCCCCCTCCACCCACCCACCTCCCCTACCCCACCCGCGCGCAAACCCTTAAAAATTCACTTTTTGTTGTATTTTCAATTTTTATTATTTATTTTTCTACACCGCCACCTACCCTACCTCTCACCCCCTCCCCCTCCCCACCCCACCGCTCGGCGCAAACCCCTAAAAAATTACTTTTTTTTTGTATTTTCAAATTTTTTCGTTTTTCTGCACCATTCACCCACCCCAACCCCACCCATAAAATATTGGTCAACTTACATATTTTAAGGTAAAAAGTTTTTTTTTTATGCAAGATGAGCATGGTTCTAAAACATGGGTCAAGTTGGGTGGGTTGGGTTATGACCTATTGTTTAGCCCATCTTGACCCAGCCCATCTTAACCCAAATACACTTTGGGCTGGGTTGGGCAATGACCCATTTATTGACCTAATCTATCTTGACCCGCCCAAATTCAGCCCGACCCACCCATTTTCTACAAGTACATCATGAAACACAACGAAAACCTAAACCTACATGAATTGCTGAGATAAATTTCCTAACTGTATAGGATATTAGCACAACATTCATCAAACTGAGAAAGCATCATCAACAACAACAACAACATACACAGTAATATCCCACACCGTGGGGTCTAGGGAGGGTGGTGTGTACGCAGACTTTACCCTTACCTTGTGAGGATAGAGAGGTTGTTTCCAATTGACCCTCGGCTTAGAAAAGCATAAGCACCACAAAGTGAGAAAGCATATTAAACAAAAATATGCTAAGCGATTTAAACTTGCGACCAACCCACAAAATTTTGAAAAAGAGCCATTGGATTAGAACTAATTATTATAAGCACATAAACATACAAGAACTTCAACAACACTACATTATATCATCAAATACTTTAACAAAGAAGCCTTGTCATGGATAATCGAAACCTCTATTTTTTTTTATTTGCACCGGGTGTCCGAGTCTCTTCGAGCCCCGACTAATTCCGAGGGTGCACAGGCCCTCGGCAAGGAGTTTCCCGCAAGTGCACCACGGTTAATTCAGGTTTTATCCAGTCCGATTGCCCTCAGATCGAAACCTCCATTAACATCAAAAGAGAAACCGGAGAAATAAGCTAAAGAATTTCACAAAATATACTCACTAGAAAAGACAAGGTTATGGCGATGAAATCTAGTGAGATAGAGAAGAGAAAGAGACACACAAAGTTGTGGCATACGGTGATAGCTGCTAGCCTCTAGGTATTCTCAATTGTAATTACTTAAGAGGGCTCCAAACTGACTTGATTTACCTACAACCTAAAGGGTAATAAAATTGCTAAGGCTCAGTTTGCTGAACTTAATAGAGGTCTAAATTCGAATCTTTTGGATCTCAACTCATTAATGCATTAATCTTTTTCTTTTAAACCACTTATTTGCTCTGAATGGGTTGGATCCATTCAAATTTTATACAAAGTCTTGAAATTATTAAGAGGCTCACTTAAAGATTTATATGAAAATAATATATCACCACTACTCCCCAGCTACCCCCAGAAGCCTCCACTACCAACACCAACCACCACCTTCAACCACCTCCACCAAACCACCTCTATCACCAATCTTCACGGCACAACAATCCCCGCCAATCAATCTCCTCCACCTCCAACCACCATCGCACAACCA